TGAATTAAAAGGATAAAATATTGGTGGTTAATTCTTGGTTTTACTGCCGGAATAGAGGAAGAAAATAATTAAATAGTTCAATGCCTTAAGGTTTTCTATTCCTAAGTTTTCAACACAAATGAAAGATTGGTCATGTCTTTTGCTTTCGTGAGAATGGTTTGTTAGTAACAAGAGGAAGAAGAAGACTGTTGATTTGGTCTAGCTTTCGGAGTTGTTGCAAATTGCAAATTAGCCCTCGAAATTTGGGATAACTAGAATGGGGTAGCTAAAATATATTAAAAAAACTGGTATTGTGGGTTAAAGCTGATTATTAATAAAGGCTGATTTAGGTTGAAAGAGATTGAGCTTTAGTTAAAATTAATAATTGACTAGATAATTGGCTTAATGGATATTTTGTTGGACTTATTAAGCTTTCCCAAACAAATATAATGAACATATGTTATAAAACTTAAAAACAAAATTGTAGTATTTTGAATACGTGCCTCACCTTTGATCATGGAATCTTAGGCTCGAACTCGTTGCACACATTCTTAAGGAAGTTTTGAAAACCTAAATTTAATTATAATAATCTAAGTTGTGACAAATGGACCCAATAACAACACCAAAGGTTCAATATTTCTTTTAAGTCCTATTTGAATAAAAAGAAATATATTTTTATGGTTGGTCTCAGCTCTAGAAAGTGACTTTAAATAAGGCCGGCCATTTCTTCTACAAATAAACAAATGAGTAAGTTAAATAAATACATAGCATTTATTTTATGAATAACCAAATTATGGCCTCTTCTAAAAAGGGAGACGCTTTTAAATTAGGAAACTTTCTGAAAAGAAAAACCTTCCATTTTAGGAGACTTATCAAATACTTTTTTAGGGTTATTCAAGATAGAAATAAGAACTTTAAATTAGGATGTATGAGCTGATTAAGACATACATATGTTATTCATTATAGGTTTGAAGCAAGTTTAAGGGTGCACTAAGAATTTCTTCAAGAGAGTAGTTTGAGGTAGGTGGTGCTTACCCCTTCTGTAGTTTTGAAATGTTAAATATGAATATTTTTCGAGTAAGAACTTTATTTTGGTATATGAAGCAATGGATCATGTATGCCTATTTCAAATGTTTTGCAAGCATGAAATTATGAATACTTGAAATATTTTGCTATGCAATATTTTATGGAATGAGTGGAATATTTTCATGAAACGAAAGAAAGGTGCATGTGACGCGTGAAATAATTTTATGTTACGAAAAACTCTAAACAGTCATGGAATAAACAGTAGGGGCTATAGTCCTATTTAATGGTAATAGTAGTCTAGTATAGAATTCGGCCGATTGACCTATGTATGTAATGAAACTAATTGGTAGTCATGAAACCTATTAGTTGTCCACCTAGAAGGGGTTTAATCTCTAGACTGAGTACTCAGAAGCCGGATATTGCATGTGCTTGTTTATGAGCTATGTTATGAAATGAGATGGCATGATTGATATAATTTATGATTTGCAAGTATGTTCAATGAATACAATCATGTCATATTATGTATATTTCTAAGCTATGTTTGGTGGGGGCCACCTCTAGAATCTATGGGACTAAGTGCCACGTTAGACAGAGGCCACTTATGTTTAAGCCTCTCACTTTCAATGGAATATATTTATGTAATATATGAAATGGGATGACAAACATGTTTAATTGATATATACATGTGGCATGGTGTGACCGAATTTGTAAAAGTATATATAGTATATATATATATATATAGCTACATGATCCGACAGGGGAGCAAGTATTACCTATTGGGCATACGTCGCTCAACCCACGTCTAGTTATCTTTCTTGCAGATCAAGAAAGTCGACTCATGTGCGTTTAGAAGATAAGTGAGAAAGGTATATAGGTAGGTGTTTAAAATTCTAGGAAGTTAGAATAAAGCATTTTGTAGATGTAATTTATTGAAATGTATATGTTTCATTGGTATATGTAAGTTTTAAAATTTTAGTGAATTTTTGTAAACTATGGTTACGATGCCTTGTATTTATGGGAGTAAGATCTCATAGATACGGCGTGCCACGTTGCAAATCCAGTCCAGGGACCTGGATTTGGGGCGTGACAGTTGGTCTTCCATGTAACAGCCTTCTCTTGACAAGATAATTGGGTTTCAAAATATTGAATGCATGATGAATCAGAATTCTCAACTTCTTGGTTGCTATTACAAACTACAATCATGGTTGAATCGAAATTACACAAAAAAGTTTGCAGACAAACTTAATGCCAAGACTGTATAGCCAATCTCTTTGAGAGCTTTAAAAATTCATTACAAAATTATTACTCTACTGATAAGACTATGGCATGGGCAGTTAATTCAAAATTCTGATGTACTTTATGAAAATTAGCAGAGTCATATACACTGCTGTAATTTTAAAAAGAGTAAATTGCACGATATGTCACTAAACTATTGTGAAGTGCCGGTTCTGGTTACTAAACTTTTTTATTAGCCAAAAATGTCACTGAACTAGTAAATCTGTACCGTTTTGGTCACTCCGCGTATTTGTGGCGTTACAAGAGAAGGAAATCAACTTTTTGAGGGGCAATTTTGTCTGCATAGCATTTGTGGGAAAAATTTCATCTGGTAAATGAAGGCTTTAACTTGGGGTTTGGAATGTTGGTAAACTTTTTGACAAAGTAAACAATGATAGTGAAAAGTATCAAAATTGATCTAGCAAAATCATAGTAATCAGTGCCCAGATTTATGAGAACCAACAAAAGACAAAGATTAGCAGTGAATCGGTGATCAATGGCAGTGAATTGGGTGAAAAGGCAAAAGGATGAGTTCATTGATCCGTACACATTATACGGTAAGAAATATTACAATCTGTACACATTTTGTATGATTAATGGTGTTGTTTGTGTTTTGAGTATAATGAAGTATTTAGTCAGAGTGTTTATTGGGTTTAGGGTTTGCTGATGTGATCCGCTTGTTTAGAAAAGGACATAAGAACCATTGACTTCCCTTTTTTGTAGTATAAGTGGGTTGCAAATGGTCCTACAAGACCCTCTATCTTGTAATTTACTCATAAAAAAATAAACTTTTCAAACTGCAGTTGTCTGATTCGAGTTAATTAACAAATAGGGGTTAAGTATTTTTATAAGAAGAACAACATGTATGACAATAAAAAATGGTGATTAACAAGAATCGTGTTGTTTGCCTTTGTTGTTATTGCAGTCCCTGATAGATCTGTATTTTTTCTTAAACTCCACCATCGTGGTAAAATTAAGGGAGAGAAATACAAGAGTTATGTAGGTGGAGAGATTGATTATTTTAATCTTTGCCATGCTGATTTTATGTCGATTCATGAAATAAATAAAATGGTGGAAGAGTGTGGGCACAAGGATTACAAGAGTTATGTAGGTGGAGAGATTGATTATTTCAATCTTTGCCATGCTAATTTTATGTCAATTCATGAAATAAATAAAATGGTGGAAGAGTGTGGGCACAAGGATACCATGTTATATTATTACATTGACCCTGACTAATGGAACTTCAAACGGATAAAGACATTAGACAATTCTGCGGTTGGGTTAATGAGTACAAGTTGATGGAAGTATACTGTCATCATGTAACAGTTGAAGAAATATATGAGTTGTAGAAGAAAAAGCAACTGGAATAGTTATCACAGACAAAGAGTTCAGTGGTAATAGAGGAGATTTTGGATGATGGTGAAATTCTTACACAACAGGCAGCGGCACCTCATAGACGAAAAAAATGAGTCCAAGCTAGTAGATCAGTTGCAGCTATAGAATGAGCGCATGACCATACTGGTAAAGATGAAGATTCATATAAAAAATCTTCTAGAAAATGTGAGCAGGCCAACAACAATACATAGAAGTCTGAGCCATAAATGCATAGCCAAGTTGATAATGACCCAACTCCATCAAGTCAGAATAGGAGGGACAATGATAGCTCTAGTAATAGAAAAAATAGAGATAGCAGAAAATCTCGTACCTTGGAGGCCCTTTCTGGTTCTGCAAAAAGAGCTAGAAATGGAGGTTCAGTAACTCAAGGTGCATCAAATAATGGTGCTGCAACTCAAGGTGCATCAAATGGAGGTGCAGCAGGTCAAGGTGCATCAAATAGAGGTGCAGCAGGTCAAGGTGAAACTAATGAAGGTGCAGCAACTGAAGCCGAAACAGAAATTGGTGGAGATTGCCAACGCCTTTGTAAGCAAATTGTATATATTACAAATGCCTTCCATAATCTTGCAACTGAAGCCCCTTTAGCTAGGGGTCTTGCCCGCTTACTCCAAATAGGTAGAGCATTAAGAGGAACAAATACAAAGATTCATTCGAGTTTTGCAGGATTTTTATTCTTTTCTGTGAGTATATTAACTCCAAGATGCTTGGAGAATAAAGAAAGAAACCGTTGATTTGGAATTCTAGGTTATATTAATTCTAAGAGAAAAATATTCCTTCTTCCTTTTCCTCGTTATATTTGATGAACAAGTGCTCATGATCATGGTTCAAAATCGCGGTCGCGGTCTGGACTGTTCCATATCGGTCGCGATCTCGGCGAGATGCGAATTTTTGAAATATTTAATATTCTAAAAATTGTAAAAAATATGATAAACAAAAATAATTTAAAAAATTAGTAAAAATAATAAAAATTCGAGTTGACTCGGGATGACTCGGAGTGACTCGGTCGTTTCAACCCTTCACGGTGACGTCTCGACGAGTCACGTATCTCGGTATCGATTCGTCGTGGTCTAGTCTCGGACTAAACCGAGACGGTGACAACTCGGCCGAGTCGTCTCGGTCTTGGCTGAGTCTTCGAACCATGCTAATGATGGCATTACTCTCTCAAGTTGGACCACAATGGTTCAGAGCGTTCTGCTACAAGGTAATCCATCGAAGTTGCCATAAACAAAAGTAAAAACTACAAGTTTCATTTCTCCAGGACTACAGGAAAGATTAATTTCCAAGAATTCTTAACCCTAAAACTTCCATAATCTGGTGTCCTTGTAGGAAATGGTGCTGGGATTGAGCCGCATACTCATCTCAAGGTCCTGTAACTATCATAATCTTCTCTTTGTAGTCTACCTAGCAAGATCATTACATATTTGGACAAAAATATTATTTTTAATAAGCACTTTTTAGATTGTTCATATTTATGCTTCACTGATAACATGTCACTTACACCTCTCAAAATCCATGGCTTCAGGGATACATACTTGGAAACCCAGCACCGACCACTCAAGGCGATGGAAACCATGCAATCCCGTTTGCTCATAGGATGGCGCTAATCTCTGATGAACTCTATGAGGTTGAATATTTTTTAGTTACACGCTGCTGAATGATGATCTTTTAAAACATTGTGTCACGCATATTTTTTTAGTGCACAGTTACCCTTGATTTGCTAACTAACCTATATTATAATTTTACAGTCCTTGAAAGCGACCTGTAAAGGAGAATATGTAAATATAGACCCCAGCAATGCGCCCTGCTTGAAGAATATCCAGGCATACAATAAGGTCAGCAATCTTTTTCTCCTTCGTGTTTCTGTAAACTATTTTCCTACTTAATAAATTAAACCGTCTATGCCTCCTACAAAGGTTGAAAAAAAAATTAAACAAAGAACGATTAATTTTCTATGTACTGACGATATGTACACGATCAGTATACTGTTAAAATAATTTTGGTAAAATATGTGCTTCTGCAGTTGATTGATAACATCGAGCCTATGCATGTGCTGGAGCCCACTTGTCCTGATGTTTCACCAAAGCCAAATAACTTATTCAGTGGCAGGAGATCAACTGTTGAAACGTTCTATAAGAAGTTTGAGGAGCTTGATGTTTTGGAATTTAATCCAGTTGAATGTCGTGTAAGATATTGCTATTATCTTTGCGAAATCGCGTGTAAAGCAATAAATTAAGTGTGTTTGGAAAGGAGATTATTTGAAATATTTTTTTAAAAAATATTATAACATTTTTTTATACGATATATACGAGATAAAAAAAGATTGAAAAATGTATTTATTATGCAAGTAGATAAATTTACGCAAATGATTTTCTATCCAAACACAACATTGTGATTAATTCTTGCCCACATGGTTATCGTAGGTGACCGGAGAGGAGGTTCTATACTACTGGGCTAATGACAGGAGTGTCCAAGAGGCCCTCCATGTGCGAAAGGCATGTAAAAATTGTACATTTTGATATTCCATTTTAAGACAGCTTCTCTAAATTTGGGCACGGAGAGGTACAGTTATGATTTGGTGCAATTGTATCTAATTATTGTAGTTTTTACAATAATTGGTGTACACTTACATAAAGCAATATATATATATATACACACACACACACACGATAAAGTAATGTAAGTGTACATCAAAACTTGTAAGAAATACAATATCAAAGATATAATTGCACCTAACACAACTGTACCTACCATAATTCTCTAAATATTCTTGTTGTCTTCATGTGATTCTGCATATATTTTGTTTAATTACATGACAGGGGACTATTAAAGAGTGGATTAGATGCAACTATAGCATACTATACACAAGAAATGCAGGGAGCGCTGTACCATACCACGCAAACCTCAGCACTAAAGGTTACAGATCTCTCATATACAGGTTTGGTAACAAAATATTCGTATTGTAAAATTTATATCATCACACTCGCGGATTAATGGCGATTATATATGTTGAAAGCACAATATTTGTATTAATTTCAGTGGTGACCATGATATGATCTCACCATATTTGGGAACTGAAGAATGGATAAGATCTCTAAATTACCCAACTATTGATGATTGGAGACAGTGGATTCATCAAGGCCAAGTTGCAGGGTTGGTTGAAAATTGAAAATTGAAAATTTTCTCCTTGTTACCTTTAACATGAAGTTAAACAAATTCATTCTCTTTTCTACGTACAGTTATACAAGGACTTATGCAAATAAGATGACATTTGCAACTGTAAAGGTGAGAAATTCCTCTTTCTCTTGCTATAGTGTAGGTTTTCAGGTTGTATTAAGTTAAGAACACTATTAGATTTGACTATATATTTTGCTTCATTTTTATCAGGGAGCAGGCCATGCTGCTCCATATTATAAGCCAGCGGAATGTAGATCCATGTTTGGAAGGTGGATATCCTATCAGCCTCTCTAGTCAATTGGGAGATGGGTATGAAAGTATTAGATCGTTTAAGAATTCAAAAATTTCGAGTGTTAAATGTTATTGCAAACGCCATCTGATTTCAGTTAATAAGCATTTACTTCAAGAGAATGCTTTCTTGATGAAAGATGAGTAAGATGTAGTCATTGAAGAATGTCTCTTTTCAAGAAATGGATGTATCGAATTTTTATTGGATAAAATTTGTTTTGACCATGGTCGATTGTGAATTTGCGAGTATATAGTAATATGTTCTAAAAGAACTTCAAAAACACAATAAAAATAATAAAAAATAAAAAATTAAAAAATAAATCTACCACCTCTTTCTTTTCCACTAACCACCACCTACCGCTGTCCCTCCCTTCCTCCACCGCCGTCAACCGTTCCTTCCTTCTTTCTCTTCCCTTTTCCTTCTTCTTGCTATTCCTTCCCCTCCACCATTTTCCTTTTCCTCCCATTCTCTGCTTCACGCAATTCCTCTTTGCTTCCTCCACACCTGTGGCTCGCTCAACCAAAGAGAGAGAGGGAGGGGAGGTGTGTTGCGGGAGAATAGGAAGGGAGGAGAAAAGAGGAGGGAGAAGGAGAGGGAAAAAAGATGGTGACGGTGGTAGGTAGTGGTGGTGAAACTTTAATAAATTTTTAAAAATATCCCAATAAAATTTTAAAAATATTTCAAAATATATCTTTAAAAACACCTAATTTAAATGGACTATCAACACAAAAATATAATTAACATACACCATTATAGTAAAATTTTTTGCACAATATTTTCAAAAATACCTAATCCATATGAATCCATTCAATTTATAGCCTGCATATGGGCAAATTTCTTGAAAATATTGTCTAAAAATTAAAAACTCCAAAAAATGTAGCTGAGAAAATGTTTGTTTCTCTGTCTATGTCCGTCGTGTCTCTGACACACACCGGACTATTTTATTAGTTGGATTTTTTTTGTTAAAAAAAGGAAACTCGCAGTGTTTGAGGAACATAGTGGACTCTAATTACAAATTGGTCCCCGCCAATAAAAAGAGGCCGCTAACAAATTAATAAAACTCACCGTGTTTGAGCCTGCTGGCAGGGACCAATTAATAAAAAGAGCCCGCTGACAAATTAATAAAAAGAAGCACGCAATGGGCGCCCGTTTGAATTTTTTTGTCTACCGTACAAACACAGCAGCTTAATATATTCCTTTTTTTTTTATCCTTTTGACGACCAATTGGAACTAATGATTTAACAAATATAAAGTATCCAAAATTGTAATAAATGTGAAATTTAAATTATGCAAGAATTTTGTTATTTGTTTTTAGTATTTAATTTTCAATTATTTTTATTATGGAACTTTAATTATATTAATCTTAAATCATTTTAATTATGCCAAGCCAAACATTGGGATCAAAACCTCAATTCCCCTTAAGTAATTAGATGAGATGTACAAGTGCATTATGGTATCAAATCCCCATATGGGATTCTTGGTGTCACTTTTTAATGGCAACTCTGTGTCATTTCTATATTTATGCCAAACGTCCTGTTTATTTAACTTGTCATATGCAATTTATTTAAATATTTTCTACCCTCACGTGATAAGTGAGATATTGACACTGAATTTGACATTGGATCGGATAGTGGTACCGACACTACAACAAAAATGGCTTTTCCTGACACGTCTAAAAGGACACTTGCTGGTTTTTGTCATTATAGCACTTTTATCATGACACTTATTATCAATTCAATAATATATACTTTAATTTTGTTTTATTTTATCTGATATAAAAATAATAATGTGTCTTTAGATTCCCTATCATGACACTTGAAAAAATGTGAAATACACCAAAAAAATTAAAACATAAAATGATGTTTTTTGATTTTGGCGGAAGATTCCTTCGCCAAAACACTTAGTGAGATTTCAAAACTTTTATTTTGCAAGCCAGCGAAATTTTGGTTCTTCTCATCTCTCTCACAAACTCTCTCTCTCGGCAAACTCTCTCTCAAAACTCCCCCATTTTGGTTCTTCCGTCTTCCGCCTTCGCCGCCGCCCACTCCCCTATTTTCAGTTGCTAACTCGGCCGCTTCTTTACCCTATTCGGTCAACCACGACACCTGCACCAATAAGCCTTCGCTCTCTTTGCTAGGACAAAAAGAATAAGAAAATAGATACTCGTGCTCTTTCCTTTTTCTTCTTTCCTCTGAAACCCATCCCCATGCTTCTCCTTACTGACTAGATATTCAGGTTGAGCGTGCCGAGGTGTAGAGTAGGCGAAGGTTGCCGCTATCATCTCACTGCAGTCCAACCACTACAGCGGAAATCATCACTGTAAAGTTTCCCACACTCTTGTACCTTTTTTCCCCCTTAATTGTATTGTTTTCTTCTTTGTCTGCAATCATGTCGGTTATGCTTTACTTTCATCTTGTTAATCGATTTTAAGTGGCTGGAATTGATCATAGGTTTGAGTAGAGCTTTAGATTTAAAATCAAGCTCAGGCCGTATAAGGAATTGATGAAAAAGAAATTTCAAAACTTTTCATGCTCACTACCTATTTGTCGAAAGGTTCGAATGAAGAAAGAAGAAAATTTGCAAGGAAACGAATAAAGGGATGAGAAAGTAAAGACAAGGAAAGAGCGTAATTCTTCTTGAAGAAAACAGGGACACAAATCAAATTCCCTGGAACCAATGCCCAATTGTGAGGGAAAGGTATGCAGCAATTATACGTAAATAGTACCCAATTGTAAAGGTTCAGAAGCAATGAGCCCATCACTTTCATATGCCTCCAAACACCCTTATTCCTTATTATAGTGGATGGATCATGGATGACAATTTGATAATGCCATGCTACCTTCAACTTTTTCGAGGGAATTATTATTATTTTTGTTCAGATTTTTTCTATTGAGAAATTTATCACTTGTATTTTTCCCTTTTACTAAGCAAGCAACTCATTACTCGTGCTAAAGAAATTATTATTGTGATGTTGTAAGCTCCTATCTAACTTAAGTACGAAATATTATTATCCAAACACAATCAAGTAGTCTTTCAGTTTAATAGCAGACTTTATTTCCTCTAAATCTTGCAGTAGAAAAAAATAACATCTACGTAGGGGCAGTATGCTCTGCTTGCTTGTCATCATATACCCAAGTAATTATGTTACTCAGTACATTGCTTAAGAAACCGTATTGAAATGTAAAAACTTCATTGTCACTTAATTGGTGTACATTTTCTGTAACTTTGATAATACTTTGTGCTGAAAGATAAATTTTGTGTGTTTATACATGAGGTAGCAGGTCCATTGAATACAACTTGGGACTCCAGAACTTCGAAAGAAGACATGGAAGATATGTGGATTCATTCCAATGTTAATAAGGAATGGATGAAGTCAGGAGAGAAAAAGGGAAAAGTTCGATTTTCTCATGACACAGAGAGGATGCCTTATCTTTTCCATGTGGAACTAAGGGTGAGATATTGTTTATACAATATGTATTTAATGACTGACTATTGAATGTTAGCCTTTTTCTTTAATTTGATCTCTCTTTGGCAAGTGAAGGGTGAGTTTGCTGTACTTACACATTTCTGATTCCAAAATGATTCCCTTTGGATTCAGCTGAGTTGATTACACTCTGTGAACCATAGGTTGGCATGATTTAGTTGTGTGACCACCATGTTACTGTACAATCTACTTTCAGAGTACGTTGCATTAGTGTGAGATTGGTCTGTGAGTTTATGCATTTTATAGAGTGTTTCATCTCAGCCCAATGCTCGTTTGCAGCTGCTGTCGATTAGACCAAGTTGTGTTAAACTTCTCAGATTGTAGTGATAAACTTTTTTATTGTCAGGCTCTAGGAATGGTTCAATGATGAGGGAACTCCAAATTCCGCTACTAGGAAGTCACCATCTTGGAATTGATGATACCAAAAATATTGCAAGAGTGGTACAACACATGCTTATAGATGGTGCTCTTTTGCAAATTACTGCAAGGAGATTACGTGGTTCTCCTAAAAAAGTTGAGTTTCTATTTGAAAATGGTATCTAGTTGTCACTCTACATCTCTTTACATTCACCTTGTTATGATCTTCATTTCGAACTAATTTCTTTGTGGTAATTGCATATATATTCTTCATGAGCTTTTCTTCTCCAACTTGAGAAATGGTCCATCAGTTTCTTAGAAAGTCGAAAGCCCTCTCAAAACTATATGCTTTGATTTTTTCTGAATTTTTATTTGGGGATGTTTAAAAATGAAAGGTAAGAGAATTTGAATGGGGAAGAATACAATTTACAGGGCAAATTTATGCAATAATTTTGCGTGTAACATTTAAATGATGTTTTAGGAGAATTAACTTTGATATAGTCAGCAAATTGCTGGATTTCTCCAAATACAAAAATTTACAATATTTGATATGTTTACTTACGATATAGTCTAGATGTGCCTCGGTGCTTCCTCCAAAGTTGCATGTTTAGACCAATTTGCTTCTGCTTTAAGATTGAAGTGGACATTTCTTTGCATTTAGAAGCTACATTGCTTTAGATGCATCTCAGTATGCTGTGCGTTGACTAACTTGTTGCATTCACTGTTTGGATAGGTGGGAGTATACTGGCGTCACTTGGTTCCTTTCAGCAAATGTGGTTTTCAAAATCCGAGTAAGCTTTTACATCCACTCTACCTTTCAATATTCAACTTTTCTCTTTTTTTTTCTCCCCATTTTCAGTCTGTTTTATCTCTCGATTAACAGGTTTGAGGAACATGGAGCTTCTAATGTTCAAAAAAAATGCCCGTAAAGTACTTTACTGGTGCAGACAATTATCACATTAGACAGAAATTCATGGAGCTGACTTCACTTTGATTAGTTCGCTGGCGGTATGGGTTGCTCGGTTTTAATATCTTGCTTTATAGGCACCCAAACAATGTACTATATATATTTACTGTACCTCTCACGAATCGTTGCTAATGTTGTACAATTACGTTACCTGACTTTTAGTTCAACAAATTATACTTGTTAGGGAATCTTTCAAGTTTGTACTTGTTACTGACTTTTAGTTCAACAAATTATATTTGAGCATTGACTTTTGCTTTTAGATTACTATATGCATTCTGTTCTTTGGGATAATTTTACAAGTCCTTTGGATTTTTTGATTGACGGAATGTA